TTGGACAGCCATATTTGATGCAAGTTTTATTTATTCATTTTTTTTTTTTTTTTTACCCTTCCTATATTTTAATGATCTTGGCGTCAAGTGGATCTAAGTGCTGGCCTGACACTATGGAACCTCTAGGGGGCGCTATGGACCAACTTCTGCCAAATGCACCGCTTCGGATTTGTTTTCTATTGTGCTGCACCCCTTTTGGGAAAAAAAAAAGAGAGAGAGAGAGAGAGAGAGAGAGAGAGAGAGAGAGAGAGAGAGAGAGAGAGAGAGAGAGAGAGAGAGAGAGAGAAGAATGGATGAGTTCTGTCAAATTTTAAGATACTGTTTTGAAGCCAGGCCGACAGGGGAAATTCTAAGCTCCTCAATGTGGCATCCTCGGCACAAGCATGATGCCCCAGGCACTAAAAGCTTCCACTCTGAAGCAAGGACCCCAAACCCACCCATTGAACTGTTCTGGCCTTACATATGCTTGTCCTTCTGCCCAAGACCCCCTTTTGCCCCTCCTCAGGCCCAGGTCCTCCTGCACTGGTCCCATGCTTGCCTGTTGAGAACCGCTAGCAGGGTCGCCTAAGACCATCAGAAAACACAGATATTAACATTATGATTCATAACAGTAGAAAAATTACAGTGATGAAGTAGTAACAAAAGTAATTTTATGGTTGGGGGTCACCACATGAGGAGCTGTACTAAAGGGTCGAGGCATTAGAAAGGATGAGAACCACTGCTCTAGAGTGAGCCTGAGTGTTATAGTAAGTCCTCCCCCCACCCCACCACCACCACCACATTGTGGTGTCCCTATGGGCAGAACCTGTGGTTTAGTCTTTGCTTATTCTCTAGCACTGGGCACATGACAAGAGCCTTTCCCGTGGTTGTGAGCATGAACGTCCATGAAGGGAAAGAGGAGGTCAGAGCTCTGGGCTGGTGGTCTGGGGGGAGCCTCTGCCTGGGCCAGAGAGGACAGGCACTCTCTGTGGGCTTGGACCCAGCCTCCTCCACCTGTCTCTCTCTCTCTCACACACACACACACACACACACACACACACCAGCTCTCTGTAACCACAACTACAACAGGTCCCCAAATCCCTTCTTTCTTTCTTTTTTTTAAAGAACACATTTTTTGTTTTTAATATATATATATATTTTTTATTGCTTTTAGAGGGAGACGGGGAGAGAGAGAAACATCAATGAGAGAGAATCATTGATTGGCTGCCTCCTGCACACCCCCCTACTGGAGATTAAGCCTGCAATCCAGGTATGTGCCCTTGACTGGAATCAAACCCAGGACCCTTCAGTCCACAGGCTGATGCTCTATCCACTGAGCCAAACTGGCTAGGGCCCAAAATCCCTTCTTCGTGGAGAAGCTGCCTCAGTTTACGAGGAGAAATTTGCCAAAGGAACTGAGATAAGTAATGCAAAATAAAAACACACATAGAGGTCCGAGAAACAGATTTGCTGAATCTAAAGAAAAGATGATTACCTTTGACCTTAGAGGCTGCCCCACAATTTGCTCCCTGGCCTTCCACCTGCCGAGCCCAGCTGGCACCTCATCACCCACAGGCCTTATCGTTGGGTTCAGTGGTTCTAAGCCCTTCTCCGGGGCTGCAGGCCCTGAGAAGCCTCAAATGCCATCCTGGCTGGTTTCTTGCTAATCCACATGGTTAGAACAGAATAGAAATCCAGGTAAGTCAGGAGCCCGTCCAGATTGGCCTTAGCTCAGCACCACTTTTCTGGGCTGACTGACCTCCCTTTCTGCCCCAGGTTAATCCTGAGTGTTATTACCTCCCAAATGTACCTTGGAGAGTCTTTCTAGAACCATGAAGATCTGCAGCCATGATGAAAAGGCAGGTGGACCCTGTCGCCTCCCAGAGGGGAAAGGTTGCAAAAGTGAGGGCACTGCAGGCAGAGGGGATGCCAGCGTGAAGGGGCGGAGCTGAGTGTGGGACTGTGTTTGAGAAACTGTGTGGCTTCTGTGTCAGGCACGTAAGAGACGCACACAGCAAGGGGATGGAAGGAAGGCAGGCTGGCAAGAGACACTGGGACCAGGCGGCAAAGGGCCCAGAGTGTCCCTAAACTGAGTCCATAAATGTCTCCTTGGGGAGTCGTGAGAACATTTTGGAAGTTCCTAAGCCAGTGATGGCAGGCTTTTTAAAAAAAATTGTGGCAGGAGAATGGAGGGTGGTTGTGAGATAGACAATTGGGGGCAGGCAGAGAGCTAAGGAGGTTGTCATCAGATTGGGGTAAATTTCTCCTCCAAGTCAGGGTGCAGAGCAGGGGAGGACAAATACTTTTAATTGTTAAAGACATGCACTGTGGGCCCTCGGGTAGGAGATGGACATGGAGGGAGAATCCTTAAGATCTGATAGATGCTGAAACCGGTTTGGTTCAGTGGATAGAACGTCGGTCTGCAGACTGAGGGGCCCCAGGTTCGATTCCGGTCAAGGGCATGTACCTTGGTTGCGGGCACATCCCCGGTGGGGGATGTGCAGGAGGCAGCTGATCGATGATTCTCTCTCATTGATGTTTCTAGCTCTCTATCCCTCTCCCTTCTCCTCTGTGAAAAAAAATCAATAAAAATATACTTTTAAAAAAAGATCTGATAGAGAGATGTCTGTGGGTAGGGTGATGAAAATATCAGAAATGAATGCCTGGCCCCAGGCTTGCTGGGTATAGGGAGGAGGTGTCATGGGCAATGTGGCCTGAGCATGTGGAGAGGAAGCAGGCCCGGCCCATGGGCAGAGCTATCATGACAGGGACCCTCCATGAAGGCCGTTGCTCCCCTCCTCCCCAACCCTGTCCTCACCAGCTGATGTCCAGGACTGACAGAAGCAAGATGGAGGCCCACACTAGACCTTTTCCCCACGGATGGCCTCTGAGACTGTGGAAGAGCATGCGCTCTCTGAGAAAGAGACTAGAGCAAGGCACAGAGGGGCTGAAGCACTCAGAGGGTTAAGAGAAGACAGGGAGGGGCAGTGCAGGGATGAGGGGGGGGGGGGGAGTGGAGAGCCCAACGCTGTAGGGGTTCAGAGGCCTGAGGCCAGAGAAGGGCAAGCAGGGCCAGACTGACAAGGAAGGCGTTGTTTTGGGGACTTTCTCAGAAATAGGAGAGGCACAGTTGGAAGAAGAGGCAGGACCAGGGGAAGATTCTTTTAAGAGTGAGCAGTCCTGAGCAGAGGAAAGAAGGAGGATCAAAACCCAAGCAGATCATATGGGGCAACATCAGGAGATGCAAAAGATGAGACGGAGCAGAGAGGTCCCTGGTGCTTGCTTCTCTGAGGTACAAGGAGAGGAGAGAATGGATGGAAAAACTGAGAAAGGTTGAAAAAGATGCACCCCTGAGAGACAGCAGGATCCTTCAAGATTCCTACCTCCTCTCCGTTGAGTAAGAGGTAGGGTGTCTGCTGGAAATGTGAAAGCCAGAGGCAGGTTTGAAGTGGAGCGTGTATGCAACAGCTGTGGGTGGTTTCTAGAGCAATGCTGCTCAAATGCAACGTGTCTACAAGTCTCCCGGGATCTTGTTAAAAGGCAGTTCTGATTCAGCAGGCCTGGGCAGGGCCTGCGATTCTACATTTCTAACTAGCTCCCATGTAATGCGAATGCTGCTGGTCCAGGGACCACACTGGGAGGAGCAAGGATTTAGAGAGCCGGGTAAGGAGGGGGAGAGATTGGCATAAGAGTTCACCTTAAGGAGAGACCTCCCTTTGATAATCTCACCTGTGGTAAAAACTGAGCCCTTGATTAGTCTGGGAGGGAGACAGGCCCTGCAGGTGATGGAGAGGGGGACAGGGAAAGGGAAGGATGGTAAAAGGACAGGAGGTAGGGGAACCACTGGGGTGGTGGGAGGCCCAGCAGTGGGATGGTCCTGGGGTCCTTCATCTGGGTCCCTGTGGGGCAGACACCAACTACACACATGGAGGCCCCTCAGAAAGAGGGTGGGAGTCAGTTGGGACAGGAAAGTGGTATTCTGGGGGTGTCAGAGTGAGACAGCGGGCAGGGCAGGCCACCCCCACGCTGTTCTGCAGGGAACTCATTCTGGGTTTGTGCAAAGCCTGGCAAGACACACCGGGACAGAACTGGAGACAGGGGCAGAAATGGCTCTGCCCCCGGGGTCCTGGGTAAGATGATGTCTGTGCCAGGAACTAATAAAAAGAATGAAATCTGAGAGGGAAGACTCTCTGGCTGAAGAGAAAGACGAGGTGAGCTGACTCTGAGTCCCAACTCCAAGCCCTACGTCTCCAACTTGCGATAAAAAAAGAAAAAAAGAAAGAAGAAAAAAGCAAGAGGTCTTGGAAAGGCACAAGTTGGGGGAAGGAAATGCTTTAAATTTAGACAACAAGGACTAGGGATGACAGGGATTGGGGGTGGGGGTGCAGGGCCTCTGCTCAGCGCCCCTGGATCCAGTCTAAAAGACAGAGGTTTGAGTCCTGGGCTGAGGGTAAGCCGAGGTCAGGTTCATCAGAGGAAATGCCCTGAGGACAGCCTGGAGCCACGACCATCCAGAGTACAAGCTCCGAGGCGTCACCATGAGCAGCAAGTGCAGGACCAGGGCGGCGGGACTTCAGGGAGGCCGAGGAGTCTGAGCAGCCGGGGGCCGTCCTGGGGCGACCCTGAGGCGGCGGTGGTTTCTGAGCGCAGCGTGGCCAGCTCCCCCGCCGCACAGCCCCGTCTGCTCATGCCCGGGCCTCCCGGCCCCGCTGGTCCCTCCGGTCCCCCCCGCCGCCTCGGCCAGGCCGCAGCCCCCAGCCCCCAGCCCGGAGACTGCCTCTCCAGGGTCCGCCCCGCCGCGGCGGCCCGGGCCCGGCCGCTCCTCCCCCGATGATGTCACGTCCCCGGCCGCCCCTCGGCCGGCCGCGCCGCCCCGCCCCCGCTCCCCCGGCCCCTCGTCCCCTGGGCCCGCCTGCTCCCGCCATCCCTCCTCCCTCGCGCTCCCTCCCTCCGGCTCCGCTCCCCCGGGAGCGGCGGCGGCGGCGGAATGGCCCGGGCCCGCGGCCAGGCCCTGGGGAGCGGCGGGCGGCGGCGGCCGCGGCGGGGCGGCGCGGGGACCGGGCCCCGGGGGGAGCCGGCCGGGCTGCTGCTGCTGCTGCTCCAGGTGCTGCCGCCCGGGGCTGCGGCTGGGCCGGGGCGCCGGGGCAAGCGGGGCGCCGGCGGCGGCGGCGGCGTCTGCTGGCCCGGCGCTGCCCCAGCCTTTCCCCGGGACGCGCGGCTGCTGCTGCTCCTGCCTCCCCTGCTGCCGCCGCCGCCGCCGCCGCCGTCGCCGCCGAGCTCCGCGCCCGCAGCCTCCGCCTCCCGGATGGTAATCAGCGCCCCGCGCCGGCGCCGCGGGCGGGCGGGCGGGAGGTGGGGGCGGCGAGGGGAAAAGGGCGGGCAGCCCCGCGCCCCCTCCTCGCCGGAGGCAGCTGCTAGGGCGCCCAGGGCCCCCCCGCCTCCGACGACCGCGGCCCTGGGCAGCCGCCAGAGCGCGCCTCTGGGGCGCCTCCGCGCGGACCCGGTGCAGGCTGCGCTCCCGCCCTCCCCGCCGCGCTCACGGTCCGCCCGCCGGCGCTCAGGCCGCGGGGGAATCCCTCCGTCTCCCCGCCCCGCGCCCGGGGAGGGGTGGGGACGGCGCTGGCGCTCGCGGACCCGCTTTCTCCGAGGGAGCGCCCCAGAGGCTAGCGCGCACCGAGCCGCCGGGACTGCGCGCTGCGCTGCCCGCTTGGAGGCGTCGGTGCCGTCGGATCCCCGGGAGCTGGGACGCCCGCAGCTTCCGGGGGAGCGGATCCCCGGTGCTGGGGGGGAGAGGGCGCCCACCCACTGCGCGCCCTCATGTTCCCCGCGCAGGACGCTCTGCCCCGCGGCGGGCTGCACCTGAAGGAAGAGCCGCTGCTGCCTGCGGGCCTGGGCTCCGTGCGCTCCTGGATGCAGGGCGCGGGCATCCTGGACGCCGGCACCGCGGCGCAGAGGTAAGCGCTCCGAAGCGACCCAGCAGCGCTTTGGGGTTGGACGGCTCCGCGCCGCCTTCGCTCAGGCGCGGGGGTACGGGGAGCCCCAACTCTGAACTGTCCCGGCAAGCTCTCCCGCCCACCCTGCCCGAGCGTCAGGGCTGTCTCCTGAGGATGCGGGGCGGGCGGGCCGGGGCGGGGCTTCTGCCTCCTATGCAGGCTGTCCCGGCTCTGACTTCTATTGCAGGTGAGCCCGGCCCCCCCCCTGGCTCTAAGGAAAAGGCATCCCGCCTGCCCGCCGTCCTGAGCCAAGCCCCACAGCTTCCCGGGCAGTCCCAGGGCCTCTCCAGGTCCCATTCCGGGGTTCAAACCCAGCCCCCTCTCTGCTTTCCCACGACCCTCAACTGGAGGATGGGTGCGCTGGGCTGGAGAAGCGGCCGGGGGCTGAAGAATGAGAAAAGATGAGGCGGGCGTCCCGCTTTGCTAGCTGGAGTGACTGGGGCTGGGAATGGGGCACGGCCGCTCAGGTCCCACCTCTTCTCTTCTCGAGGTGTTTTTCTGGTGGGTCCTGCGGGAGGCTGGGTGTCCCTGGGAAGCCCGCACCCACACCCATCTCCTCTGGCTCCTGGGCAGGGAGGCTGGGTGGGGGGTGGACGCCTGGATTTGGGAAGGAAGTTTAAAGATGTGTTGACCTGCCCCTACGACACTAGGGCCCCCAGCTATTTGTATCTCTAGTTGTGAGCATGGGGGAGGGCGAAATGGAGAGGGGGGGTTGAGGGAGGGTAGCATGGAGAGGTGTGGCCTCTGCAAACAGCTGGGGCATGTGAAAGCCGGGTTCCCAGAGTCCTGAGCAGCTGCCTGTACAGCAGCCTGAAGGGATTGTCATAGGGGATGGCCTGGTGCCCAGGCCATACAGTCACATCTCCTGTCCTGTCCAGGGGACACCACTCGGAGTCCAGCCCCAGCCTTTCCCCTAGCCCCCCTTGTTTCATGCTCAAACTGAACCAGTGGTTCTGCTCATCCTTTTATGACCGTCAGGAGGGAGTGGGGTGGGGGGGTGTTCTCTGGAGTTCATCTCTTCAAGAAGAGGAAGGTCTTGCCTCTGCATTAATTCACTCATGATAAAAATTGGAAAATAAGGAACAAAACCCCACCTCTCTAATACAACTACTGTCAACACTTTCCTCCCATCTTTCTTCTCATTACATTTTTTTTTTACCCCCGTGCTATGCATAGAATTTTGTGTCCTGTTGTTTTTCTGTTGGTTCTGGTCTGTGTTTTATTTTGACATAATCCATTTCTTACTAGTAACATCGCCCGGTGTTCCTCTCCCCCCCGGGCAGTGTGGTGAAAGCTCCTTATAACCGTGGATACGGGAGCTGCAATGGGGTCGCAGGGGTTTCAGGTTCCTCCTTCTCTCGGACCCTCCCCTGTGCCCCAGTCCCAGGCGGCAGGTTGGATGAGGGGGAAGCAGAGGTGAAGGAGGCAAATGGCCCTATAGCTTCGGTAGGTGCAGAACGTGTGGGGCGGGGCTCTGCCAGGGGATTCGGCCACCAGACGTGTTGTCTTCACATGGGGTCTTGACTGGTGCTTGGGATCAAATGTGAGTCCCCAGGGCCGCACGGCTGGGCTCAGAGGGCTTCCCCCATTTGAAAGGGGCATTTCTTCAGGCCTGGGCTGCACGTCTCCAATCCCAGAGACTTGTCTTAGGACACAGCCTGAGAGGCCCCTCCTCCACATTTGAGTGACTCTGGGTCACCTCCTTCCGGGAGAGCAGGCCAATCCATTCTCCTTGTTCTCCCCCAAGCAGCCCAGCCTCTCTCCTGTTGGCATCTCAATCCCCAGCTGGACTCCTGCTCATCTTAAAACAGCAACAACAAAACTTCCTTTCCTGTCCCCACCTCCCTCTTCAACCTCTGCCTGGTTCCTCTCCCTCTCACCTCGGAGAAACTGCCCCCAAGGCTGCTTACCTGTCTTTGATGCTCTCCTTTGCCCCATAGTCACCTGGTTGTCAGGGCTGCTGGAAGTTCTCTCTTGTGTCCTACTCCTGATCTCAGTGCCTACAGACCTCTTTTAATGATGACATGCCCTCCGCCACTCTCCTCTCCGGCTGGTGGTTAACCTACCCTGGTTTCCTATTGTCCAACCTCAGCCTCTCAGCCCTCCCCCAAACCATCTGCCATGCACTGGGGACCAAAGCAATATTTCCAAAGCACTTTTCTCTGCTCGCGTCCCTCTTCGTTAAAAACTTCAGTGACTCCCTCTTCCTCCCGGATAGTCAGCATTCAAGGCCAGTCACAGTCTGATCCCAAATTTCCTTGCAGCCTTTGTAGGATACTTTTCACTCAGCAATGTCTCTTGAAACAGTTCCCCTGTTCCTAGCACCCACATGCCCGCCGAACAGTCTTACCCAGTACCTTCTCTCTCTGCGCCCTCCCACCCAACCCAAGGGGCTGGTTTTCGGTGCTGCCTAAGGCCAGAGTCAGCTGTGCCCTGACTCTCCCTGAGCTGCTAGCCTGTCCCTTCAGAGCAAGGAGGGTGGCTTGTTGGTCTTCTGTCCACAGCACGAGGACAAGCACGAGCAGTCAGCAGGGGGCAATGAGCATCTGGTGAAGGAGACAGGAGTGCGTGTTGGAAGATTCCCAAACCTCTTTCTGTTGGGCTCCCCTCTCCACTCTGGTGGTCGCCATGATCTACCTGACCCCAGGAGCCAGGTACTGGGGCAGCTGCTGCTCCCCAGCTCTGCAAAGCCAAGGTTTACAGGAGCTAGAGACGGAGAAGCCCCAGAGCCTAAGGACAGTAGGGAGGTTCTGCAACAGGAAGGAAGTTCTCAACAAAAGAGGGATGGGCCCTAACCAGTTTGGCTCAGTGGATAGAGCGTCGGCCTGTGGACTGAAGGGTCCCAGGTTCGATTCCGGTCAAGGGCATGTACCTTGGTTGCGGGCACATCCCCAGTAGGGGGTGTGCAGGAGGCAGCTGATTGATGTTTCTCTCTCATCAATGTTTCTAGCTCTCTATCCCTCTCCCTTCCTCTCTGTAAAAAAATCAATAAAATATTTTTTTTAACCAACGTACATGCCCTTGACTGGAATCGAACCTGGGACCTTTCAGTCTGCAGACGGACGCTCTATCCACTGAGCCAAACCGGTTTCAGCATTTATTTATTTATTTATTTATTTATTTATTTATTTTTAAGAGGGATGGGGGAGAGCCCTAGCCGGCTTGGCTCAGTGGATAGAGCATCAGCCTGGGGACTGAAGGATCCCAGGTTCGATTCCGGTCAAGGGCATATGCCTGGGTTGCGGGCTCGATCCCCAGTGGAGGGGGGGGTGCAGGAGGCAGCTGATCAGTGATTCTCATCATTGATGTCTCTCCTCCCTTCCTCTCTGAAATCAATAGAGAAATATATATAAAAGAGGGATGGGGGGAAGGGGCTGCGTACCCTCACACTGGAGACGACAGTGGAGCACAGGGAAGTCTGGTGCAGAGCCTGGCAGGGTCTTCCAGGTGGAGAGCTCTGCACAGGACCCTGGCCGTTGCTATGACCGTCCCCTCTCTGGGCCAACAGGACTTTGGCTCTGAGACTCATATCCCAGCTTCCCTGGCTCCCCTTCACACCCACATCCTCTTGTTAGAGAGCTTGGCACGGAGGCCACTGTCCTGCCTTTCGATGTGATTCCCAGCCCGGGACCCACGCAGGACCCAAGCCAGCCTCCCCTCCAGCTGGTCCCATCGCACTTGCAGGGTCCTGAGAGGCAAGCCAGCTGGGGCCGCCTTTCCTGTAAGCAGCTGCGGGCCAGCCTCCCTGCTAGGAAATGCTTTTGTTTGCTTTAATAATTAATAGCTGCTCATCAGCCTGGGACCTGGCAGACAGGCCTGTGGGTGGGCGGTGAGGGAGTGGGCAGAGAGAAGCAGGTGGCCAGTCTTTTCCCTCCGTGTGTAGGGACCTCGGTGGCTGAGGCAGTTTGCTGGGGCAGGTGATCAGAGCCGCTGCGGGGGCAGTGGGGGCAGGGGATACGAAGCAGCCCCGAGCCACCTCTCCTTCCTGCAGGCATCTGTGGACATGGCTTCCGAACAGCTGCCTCTAGCCGCTAGGTCCGCCTCTGCTCGCGTGATCGAGGTGGGTGCACACCAGCGAGCTTCTGCTTTTATCTTCCCTGGTCCGTGGCACAGCCAGGCTCTGGGCATGTCGGGGTGGACAGGACTAGGCCAGTAGATCTTGGCTCGGGCCAGGAATACCAGGCCCAGCTTGATGGTTACCTGCAGTCCCAGGGGCCAGTGGGATGCTTGGAGGAAGTGAAGATGCAGAGGAAAGGGGGGGGGGGGGTTCACTTAGGGAACCATGCCAGGGTAGGGAAAGGACGAGCAGTATTTATTTATTTTTTATTTTTTTATTTTTTTATTTTATTTTTTATTTTTTTTAAATCAATCTTTATTGTTCATATTATTACAAAGGTTCCTCATTTCTTCCCCCCTCCACCAGGTTCCCACCCCACCCTCCGCCCCCTCCCCATCCCCCATTGTCCTCATCCAAAGGTGCACAGTTTATGTTCAGACTCTTCCTCCCTCCCTTTCCCCGGATAGTAAATCCCTTTTCAGATAGTAAATCAATTACTTAGCATTTTCTCATATCAATAATACCTCCACATGCCCAATAATACACTTCACACAAAAGACATTTCCAAATAGGTCAACCAGCCTCATCCAGGCCCCACCCAAGGCACTCACAGATCAACACCCCAGCCCTATACTAACTCAACACATCCAGATCTAAGCCTTCATCACTTGATTCAGCAGACCCTCAAGTTCCCACAAAAGTTTCCAGCCATGTCTGAGAGGCAGCCGTGGGGCAGGGGCAGGCGAGGAGCGAGCTGTTCCGGGCCTGGCTGCTCCGGGCCTGGCCTCTGTTGCTCTGGTTCGTTCCACAACCAGCTGCTCCAGGTCTGGTCACTGCCGCTCCCGACCTAGTTGCTCTGGACTTGGTTGCTGCTGCTCCGGGCCTGGCCGCACCCGACCCGGCT